CCAACAGGTACTCCTTGGGAGAAAGACAAGGCTTTACAGTTCAGAACCGCAGAGGGGCAATTCCACACCGTCCTTTAGGGTCACTAGGAGTCGGCATCAACCCCATGGCTGTGATTTTGGTTTTCCTGGTTCATTTCTGCAGGGATGAACCCTCTCTTTCCCAGATGGCTCTTGGGAGAAGAGAGGTGTGATCTGGGAGTAGGTTAGGAAGTGGGGGCGAGAGTCTCATCTCTGACATCATATTCTCCCAATTCGCTGGAGTCTGGGGAAGAATATGGAACGCTGCATGTTGATTTCAAGCAAGGGGGTAGGGAGAGTCTTCTCTCCGCCAACGGCCATTCGGATATTTGTACATCATTCTCTAGCCATATTGGTCAAACATTCCATTAACACCCCCAAACGCAACAAACCCCGGTGCCGTAGTGGTTACACATTGTGCTGCTAACCTCAAGGTCAGCAGTTTGAAACCACCAGCAGTTCTGAAGGAGAAGGACGTGGCGGTCTACTCTTGCAAAAAAAGAGGAGCGTATGCCAAGGGCTCAATAGAAAAGAATGATGGCAATATATGTACAAATATGCCTGATACAATTGATGTATGGACTATAATAAGCATTGTAAGAGCCCTCAATAAAATGAGTAAAAAGAAAAAAGAAAAGATGGGGTTTTCTACTCCTGCGAAAGTTAGTCTCAAAACCCACAGGGCAGTTCTACCCTCTCTTGTAGGGTCCATATGAGCCGGCTTTATTGACTAGATGGCAGTGAGGTTTTTTGTTTGTTTTGTGTTTTGAATGGGGTGGCAGGAACTGCTTCTCCGTGGTGAAGTGTGTGATGTTAGCTGTTAGCTGGTATTGATGACAACGTGGGCCTTAAAGAGCCTGTGGGTCAGGCATGTCTCCCCCTTCGCCCTCTCCCCCACCATAAAGGGTTCAGTGCTAGCATTCTCACCTTCCATGCGAGGGGGGCTCAGATTCAATTGCCGGCCAATATGCCTCAGGCTCAGCCACCACCCATGTGTCAGGGGGTCTTACCCGTGTCACCTGTCACCAGGAAGTTGACCAGGAGTCAGCAGAGCTTCCAGATGGAGAAGGGATAAGGAAGAAAGCCCTGATAGCTACTTCCAAAAATCAGCCTTGGAAAACTCCCTGAGCCCAGGATCTGGCCCCGGGCAGTCCAGCGGGGTTCACAGGCCCAGACAGAGGTGTTTTCCCTTTGGGCCTAAAGTAAGGTGACCAAGCGGGACAGTCCCGATTTTTGGCATTTTAAAAAAGTCCCGATTTTTGGAAAGAATGCACAGCAAGCTAGGGAATGGTCTATTTGGTCCATATAGACCAAATTTTTAATCAAGAATCCCCCACCCCCCTTCCCGGTCAATGGTGTCCCGCTTTAAATCTGGTCCCCTTAGCCTAGGGTGACCCATGAGGCAGAGTCAATGGCAGCTCACAACCAGGGAGAAATTATCTAGGTAAGGGTTACAAGAATCAATACCCATTTGGTCGGCTGTGAGATCCACAGAATTGTAAGAGGAGTTGACCAGTTGCTGCTGCCACTTTTTTTCCCCTTGAACTCTATCTAATTCTTACTGGCAGTGGAAATTTTCAGAAGCTAAAATAATGCCACCACATACTTCAAACTAGGGAACAGGTTGGCCTTTTGTCACAATGAAGCAAAATACGCCTGGGGGAAAAGACAAAAAAAAATTTTTTTTTAAAGCCTGCTCTTTCCAAATGGTGCCAGTGAAATGGCTGTGACAAGGCCAGCAGGGTAAGGTATCAAGGGAAGTCTTGGGCTGCCGACATCCAGCCGCCCAGACAGGACACAAAGTCACATGAGCGTCCCCGAGGTAGAAGGGCAGGCGCACAACATCAGGCAGCTGTGACGACCACCTGGGTCCCAGCCAGAAAGACAGCCGTCGGTTAGACCAGGCGGAGCCCCACTGCCTAGTGGGTTCTAGGTGTTGGGCTACTAGCCTTCATGGTCAGCAGTTCGAAATCACCAGCTGCTCCATGGGGAGACCGTCGAGAGTCTAGCTCAGAAACCCGCAGGGGCAGCTCTCCCCTGCCCTGTAGGGTCCCTAGGGGTCAGAATGGGCTCAATGGCAGTTTGTTTGTCTTTAATATTCGTGGATAAGATGAATACTGTTGGGCCCCTCTAAAGGCATCCAGCTTTGAAACCCACAGGGGGGCAATTCTTCCCTGTCCTAGAGGATCACCTTGAGTCGGCATCGACTGGATGTCCCTGAGCTGGTAATGAGAGGGACATCACACTCAGAAATGAGCCCGGTGTTTCATCGAAGCGTATTAAGAATTATGAGAAAGTCTCCAAGTCTTGGGTTTTCTCCTCTAAAGTGGAAAGACTGAGAGGCCGAGTCCCCGGAGGGAGGAACACTCGGCCACAACTTGAAAGGGTGGCAGGTTGACTGCATGCCGAGGTGCGCCTGGGGAGAAAGGGCTGGCGGTGTACTTTTGAACAGCCTACCAGTGA